GTGGGGCTGGTGCGGGATCGGGCAGTGTTTCGTTCTGCTGTGCATGGGGTCGCTATGAGTCGGAAACGACTCGACGGCACTTAACAACAACAACAACATAGTATTTCTGGCTCTGGGGTCTTCTTTCTTTCTTTCAACACTTCTTCATTCCCTTTCCTACCACCCATCTACTAGTTTATTTTTTACCATCCCTCTTCTAGCCTCCAAAAAAAAGAAAAACTAAAGGGGAAGACAAAAACAAAACAAAACAAAACAACAACCAAGAGTGAATATTAGGTTAGATTTGTTTTAAGGATTCCTTTGGGCAAGGATTCTGACACTCTAGCCAGGTTGTTTCAGAAGCAGAATTTATTTACTACAAGACACACATGTACCTCTCCTCTTTACCTGACAATTGAGGTGGGGGTAGGGGAAGTGGAGGGGGTTTGGGGGGTGTAGGGGTGGCAGTAAAGAGTAACAGATGCTTTTCCAGTAAGATCTTGCTTTGGGGTTCATAAAAATTAGATAGAAACAGAAAATATTTTCCACTGCATGTCAGAATATTTCCTCACTGCTCCTAGACTCCTTTTTGACTCAAGTTTCTCTTTCACTTAATGTGAGAGAGGATCCATTGATGACTAGTGGGATTACCTCTGTATGTGCAGGCCTTCTTGCATACATGTGATTGTATTTACTGTAGAGAAAGGCAAGAGAGAATGGGTTTGAGAAAGAAAACAGGTGGAGACACAAACTGCCTCAACAGCTCTGCGATGGATGTACCTGATTCTTTTACATCAAGAAGTTAATCTTGTGAGTCATTTCCAAGTTGTAGATCCTCTGGCAGGTTTCATAGCTTTCCCGCTGTCGCCGTCGGCATGATTTCTCATAGTACTACCTTCGCTTAGTGCCCTCAATGAGCACATCCATGGTGAGGATTCTGTTTAGGGTCCTATATGCACCGTCCATGTTTCTGTCCTATACCATCACAGTCCTAGCAATGAACTTGAGATGTTTTGCCATGCCCTTGGATTTAAAAGTCTTCACTCTGCTGTACCCTGTACACTGAGCACACAGTCGACCCAGAGCCTTCCCGGGACTGGACTATTCGTAAGGTTTTGAGTGGCCAGCTTTTTCAGAAGTGGACCAGGCCACTTCCTTCTTCTTAATCTGTATTAGTGTGGAAGCGCCACTGAAAGTGTCCACCATGGGTGACCCTGCTGGTATGTGAGACAGCGCCGGCTTAGCTTCCAGCAGCTCAGCAGCAGGTAGGCCACCACAGTGTGACAAATGAGCAAGTGGCAGAAATTAATAACTGGGCAAGATTATTTACATCTGTACTGCTCAGGCAGTTTATTTCAAGAAACAGTTTTTCATACCAATGTGGGTGCTACTTCTAGGCACAGGAGAATCAGGCTTCAACCTATTTGAGGAAGGGCAAGCAGAACGTGGCAATAGAGCATAGGGAAGGGAAGTGATGAAAAGGTCTAGTGTCACGGAGGAATTGAGCCTTGGTTTTGTAATCATATGAGCCACCAGAGGTGCTTCCCAGGTCAGGAATGAGCATGATAGGAAGAGATGTGCAGTTCAGTGTCTGGCTTCTTGCCTCACTCTGGTGCCAACTTGCCTGATTCAGTCTCTTCTTGCCTGGACCCTACTTATCTATAGAAGGCAGGTTCCTATGATGATGCTTTTCTGAGATGTCAAATTTCTGTATTTGATATAAACCTTCTTTCTTTTTTTTCTCAATCAGGTGGCAAACATTCTGTTCTGAATTTAAAGGTAAGATTATTTTTAAAAAACAATTTTTTAATTTTTTATTTTAAGAGTTTGTGAAAAAAACAATTTTAATATATAAAATTTCCACCATAATTTTAAAATAGTTTTTGTGATTTGTGGGGAAAAAAATCTTCCCTTAAGAGTTCTTTCCCATTGCTGGAACCACTGAGACTTAGGCACCTAGCTGCCCTGCAGGTCTGGAATTGAACCCACACCTGTGGCTTCCAGCCAAACAAAAAAGACAGGCATATGAGTTGAACATTTACCTGAGGTAGATACACTCCTTG